AGGGAGGACCCCTCTCCCACCAATCAATCAATCAACCGATCAACCAATAAATCAATCAATCAATCAATCAATCAATTGATCAATCAATCAATCAATCAATCAATCAATCAATCAATCAATCAATCAATCAATCAATCAAAAAAACTATCAATCAATCAATATTTATATTTTTTCTATTTATTTATTTTTTTTTGTCACATACCAAAAAACACCCCCCCCAATTTTTAATTTTTTTTTTTCTTCTTGAACAGAGTCATAGAGGCTACGTGCGATGGCCGCACTCGCACATCGTTTTCCCGTGCGAGTCCTCGCCTGTGCCTGAGGCGGCCGCGCAAAAACTCGGTCGCGCGGCCTCGAGCGCGGGCCCGCGGTTGGCCTCGTCGTCCGCCGCCGAGGCTGCAAGATCCGTGGCCTGGGGTGTCAGGTAGCACCCCGAGTTTGAAGTGTTTGGAGCATAGCCCTATTTTCTGAATACGTTTTATCACTCTGAGCCCACGTGATCTTATCAGCACTCCTTAACGTGATAAATTGACTCCTACTTACTAAGTAAAATGAGTACCCGAAAACAAAATACGAGATTGTTGCTAAAACTCCTCGTTTTCGAAGTTCAATCAAGGTCAGAGTGGAACCTTTTGAAACTTCAATCCGGACTTGAAAATAAGCCAAAGTGATTCGGGGCTTCGGAGCTAAGGATTCCCACGTCGTTTATTATCTTCTTCTTGCGCATGAATTGGCACCGACCCCTGATCTATTATCCCACCCTGTCGATCCGACCTTTCTTCTCGGAGAGAGTCGGAATTGTCGGATCCTTAATAGATTTGGCATCTCTCGAATCTTATTGAACCACCCAACTTTGAAAAGATTCGGAGCATCGAGCAAACTTCTATCGAGTCTCGACAGCACTCTCCCTAACCTACCGTGCATGATCCGGATAATGGCGCCTAGCGACTATCCGACCATGCTGATCCAATTTTATTTCGATGATGGTCAGGATCTGTGTAACACGTTGTATGTCATACGGGGCTCTGGTCGTACAACCGTATGCACGATCGTATGAACGGTCCCGTACAAACTGACAACCCCCCACCACCACCACCACCAAAAAAAAATAAAAAAAATAAAAAGGGATCTGGAGTTTTTCGTGATCTACATCCCCATATTTTTATTTTATTTTTTGGTTTTTCTTCCATTTTTCAAAAACAAAAATAATCAAAACGAGAAAAAAAAACAAAATAAGGAAATAAAAATTGATTGATTGATTGATTGATTGATTGATTGTCCATTGATTGATTGATTGTTGATTGATTGAATGCTTGATTGATTGATTGATTGATTGATCGATTGATTGATTGATTGATTGATTCAAAAAAAAAAAAAACTCGCGCCTATGTTAGAGCGCACACTCCCTCTCTCTTCTTGTCTGTCTCGAAGCGAGTGCGGGCGTGCATGAGAGAGAGAGAGAGAGTATGTGTGTGTGTGTGTGTGTGCATGTGTGTGTTCGTGTGTGTGTGTGTGTGCGAGTGTATGCGTGTATGCGTGTGTGCGTGTGTGCGTGTGTGTGTGTGTGCGTGTGTGTGTGTGCGTGTGTACGTGTGTACGTATGTGTGTGTGCGTGTGTGCGTGTGTGC